GCAGTGCCATGTGCAGAGTGGTTTATATTTCTCTTCTGGGGATGAAAAACTTGAATTTACAGAAATCACAGTGCTGGAGAAAGAGAGGATACTCCAGAAGGAAAATATTAAGGAAATAAATCCCCAAGTTCTGCTTGACCACATATCTGGCAGACTACTGAACCATACAGAAAGTTCAAAGAAGCTCACTTAAATGCAAAAGATATGAAAGAAGATTGGCACTGCCATCCAAAAAGCAGAGCTTACAATTTCAGTTTAATTAAGACAATTGTCAGTTCAAACAAAAGACACACTCATTAGAGAGCAATAGCATAATTTAGAACCTCCACAATTTAGAATTTATATTAATATGTGTGACACAATCCAAAAATCAACCAATATAGAGAATAACAGAAAAATGTTATACAAAAGAAAATCAACTGAGACATATCACTAGCTGACACAAATGGCACAATTGGCAGATTGTATTTAAAGTATTTTTCTTACTATTCTCAATGAAGGATGGGGGAAGGACTTGAAATGAATGAAAAGGCAGAAAGTCCCAGGAAAAAAAATAAACCAAAAAAAAGTTTAAATGTAATTACAGAACTGAAATACAATATCTGAAATTAAATTTATTGTATGTACTTGAAGGCAGAATGGAGATGATGGATGAAAGTCAAATTGAAATTGAAGATTCACCAGTGTGAAGAACACAGAGAAAAAATAATTCAGATAAAAATTAATAAAGTTTCAGTGACCCATTAGAGAATATCCAACAGTTCTGATATAATAAAAAAACAGAAAATTAAAGAGATAAATATTTGAAGATAAATGGCTAAAATTGTTTTAAATTTAAACAAAAGCATAAATTTGCAGATGCAGTGTGTCTGAAATCATCAAGTATAGCAAGCACAAAAAAATTATAATCAAATTTTTGTCATCCAAAGATAAAGCAAATATAAAAATCAGTAGAGGAAAAGCAACATTATATATACATATTAAAAAGGGAAAATAATTAATGGTCAAATTCTCATCAGAAAAATGGAGAGATTAAAATAGAGCAAAACAATACCTTTAAAGTGCTGAAATAATAAAACAAATCATCACTCCAGCCTTCTGTATCCAGTGAAAATATTCTTTGAGAATGAAATCATTTTCAAATAAAAGAAACTGAAGTGACAAAATTTGTCACCTGCAGAACTACACTAAAAGAAATGATAAGTAAGTTCTTTAGGTCAAAGGGAAATTTTGACAGAAGGAAAATGAGATTCTCAGAATGGAGTAAAAAGTTCTGGGAATTATAAATATTTGAGTAAATATTAAACCTTTTTTGCTCTTTTCATCTTCGTTATAACTCATGTGTTTGCAAAAGTAAAAAGTATGGCATTGTCTATAGGACTTTTATCATATGTAGATGTAATACATGTAATAATAATAGTACAAAGCAGGGCTAGGCAAACTTCATGTATAAAGGACCAGATGAGAAATTAAGAACTATTTTAGATTTTGCAAGTCATATGGTATCACTGTCACATCATCTCACTTTTTTATTGTATATTTTATTTATTTATTTATTGGTACCAGAGAATGAACTCAGGGACACTCAACCACTGAGACACATCCCAGCCCTATTTTGTGCTTTTTATTTAGAGACAGGGTCTCACTGAGTTGGGTCTTACTGAGTTGCTTAGCACCTTGCTTATGCTGAGTCTGGCTTTGAATTTATGATCTTCCTACCTC